AAAAGTATTTGTATATGCATCTATATGACGCTTTATACTTTATAGGTATATACCTCCTTATATTTGTTTTTAACAGTTTAGCTGTGGATTTTTCTAGAATATACTGGAATAAGTTGTCGAAGATATAAACTTACGCAGAATATTCTCATGATTCAACATCTGTGTCTCATAGATTTCTCGTTCATTGTTCCAAGAGTCCTCTTCAGTAGTATAGAAAGTCTGAAAAATCATCATTTTTTTCATTTTATTGTTATTTCACTTACTTTATGGAAATCTAATGTTTGGAAATTTGTCTAAAAATTTAAGGAGGTTATTATCAGTATTTAATTAAATTAAGTTCATTGCAATTTACCCATAATTCTATTACCTTTCATTTCTTAAATAGATTGCCATTTACAATATGCAATCAATCTTTTTTCTGTAAAATTCTGTTTCCGCTTTTTCTAGGAGTTTTTCACGTTCATAACTACTCATAACTCATCAGGGAGTAACAAACCTTGACAGCGACCAAACTCCCTCTAAATCTTGCTATTCGTACTTCGCCATACCTAAATACGGAAAAAAGTATTCTTCACACAATTCTTAGGCATTTTCTTACAATGAGATTACAAACCTTCCTTTCCCAATGACTTTCTCAATAATGAGATCATTTGCCACAGTTCTTTGCACCATTGTTGCATTTCCGGATCCAGAGCCGCTTCTAAGAAAAAAAAAAGCGGGAAATTAGGGAAAAGTAGGGGAGATTTTACTATTTAAGTTACAATTTACTAACTAGAAAAAAAATAATCTAACTTTTTCTTTTAATGAAATTGGAACTTTGTAGTGAGCTACAATTCAAGGGACGAAAAACAGAACGGAAATTTTCCTTTTAACATTAAATATGTGATTAGTTTTTGACCATCACTTCTCTTCTGTTTTTCTTTAAAATGAAATTATGATTGAGAAAATCTCGATCTTACCCAGAATCATCGTAAAGCATTGGATCCAATTCCGGCACGGGTAGAAGTTCCTGCTTCTTTTTGGCTTGAATGGAATAAAATTAGAAAATTATAGGCAAAGCAAGCAGTTGTACATAGCGGGGTTTTTTCCTGCATAGATCTAGGAAGTACTACGAAGGAAATGCACCTAAAGGCCACCATTTCTTCAAATCTCGGCGCCTTTTCTTCAAAATACACCATGTCGCAGCAATAGCAATCGCAAAAAGAGCTATCAACAGCGGTAGAATAACATGAATTATAGGGTGCAGCTTGTTGTCTAACCACTCCTCGTCGTAGTATTCTGAAAAATTCTCAATTCTTAAGGTTTTGGAGCGCAAAGATCTAAATCTCAAAATTTACCCGCTTCCTTAGGAAGTTGTCTATAGGGCGGTGGTGTTATTCTCAAATTACAGTAATTACCCTCATAACAACAAGCTATGCTTTTCGGAGTTCGATGAGGACTTCGGAATGAGTTACACTGAAAGTAGTTTTCTTTTTCTTCTTTGCAGCATTTGTGGAACTGACCAATCAGCTATGAGGACTTACCGTAAGATGAGAGGCTGAGCTGCCTTTCTCAAGAGTGGCACACCCGTATTGGTGAACAGTCTCCATGCGACGGAGTTCAGCATTGTAAACCTACAAGTTGTTGATTTTTTGATCAAAATCAAATATGAAACAGTAATTTTCTTGTACAATGACTAGCATGTGATGAAGTGCAAAAAAAA